TTCTTTCTTCATGTAGAATCGATCTTTATGAAGAAAGTTTCTTAGCTAGACAAAAACTATTGAAGAATCTACATTCTTCATCTAGTGTAGACATCTACATTTGCAACACTGGATAGAATTAAACTAGCTATGAGGAATATTTAAATTAATATTTTTGAGAACAAACTGTTTCTGCCTGACTTACTCAAAGGAATAGATCTTTTCCAAAAGTAAAACGTTATTTAAACTTTAAATTTCTAACGCTTTTCAAAATTCAAAATTTTAACGGATTTCAAAAGTTTGAAAAATTTTAACGAATTTTCAAAATTCAAAATTTTAACGGATTTCAAAAGTTTGAAATTTTACTAGATTTTTAAAGTTCAAAATTTTAAGTAATTTTAAAAAACAAAAATTGAAACTGATTTCAAATGTACAAAAGTTTTAACGAATTTTTTAAGTTCAAATTTTAACATGATAATAATAATAATCCTTTATTTAATTAATGATATACGTCGGAACAAACTGCATTTATCTTGATGTTAACCTCGTCGGTTTTAAATCAAATGTAAAAATGAAATGTGATTATTGATATGACATGAGTTAAGTTTGAACTATTGAGATGCGGTCAAAAAAAAAATTAGCAAAAAGACCAAAAAAAATCAAATTTTAACAAATTTAAAAAAATTTAATGAATTTTAAAAGTTCAAATTTTAAACAAATATAAAAAAAAATTTAACAAACTTCAAAGGTTTGAATTTTGAACAAATTTAAAAAAATTTAACGAACTTCAAATATTCAAAAGTTCAAAAATTTTCTTAAACATATTCAAATATGTTAATCATGAAAGCAAATTCATTAGACCTTCAAACAAATAAATTTAAATATTTATAGTATCATTCCTCAATATAAACTTCCTAAAACCTCTATTAATGTTTACTTATTCATCAAAATAGCGTCTAAAGTCCATTAAATCCCAAAAATAAATCAACTCATTTTCATAAATTCTTGCCTTTTCATTTTCATGTTTCATGCAAGTTTCATGTGATTTCCTTTACTTTAATGTCGAAAGAATCAAATGAGTTTCGAAACATTTTTTTGTATTTTTTTTCTAACCTAATTTCACTTGCTTTGATTGATGATATGATTTACATCACGAGCAATAAAAATTGTAGTTTAATTTGACTCAAAACATTTACAGCATAACTTCTTCAATCGAAATTCACAGATTTATATAATATTGAGAAGTGTTCAGATCTACACGGCAATCCTAACTATAGAGACCGTCTGATAAATTTAATGATGCAGCATTCCATTAATCACCGGAACAAAACTGCCATGTGCATGAACCGTGCTCATCTATTATTACTGCAAAACATCCATGATAGTTTTCCATTCACTTCCCTTCCATTTCACGGATAGTTTTAACCAGGGTTGAAGCTAGGATGGGGGAGGGGGGTCAGTTGAAGGTGTTATAAACAGACAATTACAATCATTGAAGAAATTTTTCTAATCAATGTGGGAGGGGAGGGGGGGGGGGGGTTATTGTCTCTTAGATGTCCCTAAATGTTAGTCCTCGATGTATATCTCTGAATTGTACTTATATACTGCTATCGATGCATTTAATTTCCCAACTGAAATTGATTATTCACAGGAAGGCGATTCGATTATTTCATGTTGCTGTAAATGGTTGTTGCTACCGCTGCTCCGAGAGAATAAGTGCACTTGTGATATATTTTTGTTTAAAAAAAAGTGAAATCATGTGATTCGATGCTCATGTGCATCAATGGATTCCCTTTTTATTTCCTATTAAATAATTTATTTATTTTCATTTTGTTCATGCAACTCGATGCGATTTTTAGTTTTTCATTCAAATCCTGTTCAGCTATTATGAATTTATTTTTTCATGCTTTCAAATTGAAATTTATAGTGGAAATATTATTAAAATATTTATCTGAGCGTGTTGAAGATTTGTTGAAACGGAATTTATGGAGAGTTAAAAATTAAAATGAAATTAAATGAATTTTAATTTAAATTTATTTTAGAGTTATTGCACCCTTAAGTGCTTCTTTCGATTGAATTTGGAATCAACAACTTAATAGCGGGTTTTGATATCAATCTTGATGTTTATATGTGTGTTCTGTAGTCTATAGGAATTAGCTATAGTTTAGCTGTTCTGCAATAGATTGAGTTAAGAGAATTTGATGAGAATTGTTGAAGACGTTGGGTTCAATTCCTACCATTACATGAAAGTTGTCGCTTATACATTATGTCTTCATTTTAAATAGAATTAAGATCTGAAGATCTATGACAAATAAATACAAAATGTATGTGGGGTCGTTCACTTATGACGTCCGACATTTATGGGGGAAGGGGTTCAAGAATTTTGTGACAACTCAAACAAAGGAATTTTTTTCATATAAATTTTGTGATAGTGGAGACGCTTTTTGACGGATGTCATAAGTAAACGTACGTTTGTACAAAAATTTGGTGACCTATAGGAAGATGGGGTCTAGAATTCTCAATTTTCGATGAAGTTATTAATGAACGACTTTTAACCATAAGGATACCAAATCCCCCATTATAAATACTACAAGCACGAAGCAACTTTACTATTCAGTTTCTAGCAATTAAATATTTTTTTAGAGTTCCACTATCTAGAAATTCAACATAATAAGTATGAATATAAATCTAATAAATTTGAAATCATAATAAATTCACAACAAAAGGACCCCAAAACTATATATTTATTTTATATTCCACATTAAATTCACCAAAATATCTTCAATCCTCCCCATTTTCAAACCTCATCTGATTCCATCAACTTAAATCTCATTATCTCTTTGTTTACTCTTATCATTAAAGTCATTTTTGTGTGCATGTATGGAAACTTATCTTTTATATTTGAATGATATAAATCTCCCTAATAATATATAAAAGTAGATAAAAATCTTGAGAGATATAAATTTGACATTTTCTTCTTCTTCATCTTTCCTTTTATTTTATTATCTTTTTGCCATCAAAATCCTGCATTTGTGGATTTATTCTTAAGTGATGTCTATAAACAGGATTTTATTCTTATATTTTATTTAAACTGTTAAAGTCATTTTAATATTCTATACTGATTTTCTTCTTAATGTAGGGTCAACTACCTATACCTTTAGAGTTATTGACCACCTCTCACCAAGGGGGAAACTCCTTCAAGAGAAAAAATAATTTTTGGCGGGAAAAGTTTCAGGAGTTCTTGTTTGTTATACGATTACCTTTAAACTAGTTCATCAAAAGTCATTCAAAAATATTTCCACCAAGTTGTTCCCCCCCCCCCCCCCCCCCCACAGATGTTCCCTTCTTAAATATACATCATTTACATCCATCCCCACGACCATCCAACCCTGATGATTTTCATATGAAATATTTTCACAATAGAAAAAGCCACATGCGGTCAAATTAATCACTGAATTTAATGATGATGATGAATACAATTGGAAGTGATGCGACTAGAAAATGAAAGCAATTTTCCATTTTCAATACAGCAACAACAACAAAAAAAAGGGATTTTTTTTTTCATTGTGTCTGTTCTCTATTGATTTTAAAATGAGAAAGACGTGTGGCTGAACAAGTGAGATGATTTTAACTTTTTGTGGATGTGTGAAAAGAGAAGAACCGCAAAACCGTAAGGTTCAATTTTAATTTAGCATGAGATATGTGATACGATATTAATGCTGATTTTAAAATTCAATTTGTGCTGCTGAAGACTGAAAATGAGATGAAATTCAATTCCTTTTGTGTCTCATTTGCTTGCAGTTTGCAGAACAAATTTTCTTTTATTTCTACACTCTTTTTTTTTGCAATAATGCAGTACGCATTAATCTCCTTTAGTGACATGTGCACAAGTCTTGTTCATTATTTCCATAAAACTACATTGACGACATGCTGCATTAAACAACTAACATGCTTTGTATGCTCATTAGAGCTGATTTTTGTGAGGAAATGAGATTGTTGGCTGCATTTTGGTATGTTGACTGCGTTAGGGAAGAAATGCTGGATATAATGTTTAGGGACAAGCTTACTTTGAGCTAGAATGACTATGTGCTGCAATTGTCTAGTGCTTTGGTAGCCTAATAAATCTGTACGAATTATAATGTTGTCCACGTGACGATTTCGCTTAGAACCTAGCTTTTAATGGCCGGCAAGTCACTTACTTTTGCTATCCGGCTATCTTCAGGTCTCAAATATTTGCTTCAGTAAGTCGTCATGTAGAAAATGTATCAATCAGGTTGTAAACTGCAGAATTGACAATTATAAGTTCCAATCTCAATGGTAAGGAATGCGGCAAGGATGTTATGCGTCTTTAACACTTCCTAACTTTCATACATGACCATCACAAGACTTTCTTTATTATTTCATGAACAACTATCAATTGCATTTAATTTCCATCCAAATCGATTTTTCACGGGAATAGAAGCAAAACATGGAAAAAAATTCATTAAATTTCAACATAAACACAATCGTGGATGCATGTTGAAGGAAAAATAAACACTTTTTGGCCTTCCAATGAACGGCAATGAAAATGAAATTATTGAAAAACATTTTCATCAGAATGAAACGAGATGTTGTTGTTGTCATAGCCATGTACATGAAGCGAATGTTTTCAATTTATTTATTCTGTCAGACACTCAAAAATGGCTGCTGCAACTAAGACTGCATTATCATGCCGAAACTATTTGTTATTCTAAACCAGTTAAAGCAATATCCAACATTCGAAGAGCTATGAATGCATTTTTATCAATGAATAAGAAATTGTGGAACTGAAAGAAAGAGAAATGAATGCCTTAATGATTATAATGATGATTTTACTCATTTTTCATCCATTTGGCATAAATATTCTGCTCACTCTAGCTGCAATGCAATTATTCATCTTCTTTATGATTCATTTGAATATGTGACTAAATTATGAATTAATTCACTAGATACTTTGTGGATTAGTAGATTTGAGTGGTGATTCAAAGGAATGACAAGTAACATGTTCAATATAAAATGTAATATTTTATTTGACCTTTGTCTTATATTAACGAGTTCGTCAGTTCCCACTCCCTCAGAGTTGTACATCATTTATGAACAACTCCTTACTATTTTAAAACAAGACAAGATAAAAGAAAAACTTACTGAACTTTTTTGGGGACTTTGCTTTTTTTACGATGTCCTACATGTTTAACCTTATACTTATTATTCTTACTAGGACCATCACCAACGGTTGCAAAATCGATTTCACAGGCAATATTGCAGTTGTTGTTGCTATTTCGTATCATTTTTACGTATCCATTTTCACCCCAAGAATCACTCCAACTATTCTTCACCATCCAATAATCCAAATCATCTGATCCATAGCCAACAGCAACCATTGCATGATTAAGTTCTGAGCAGTCACTTGGACAAGTATCGTCAGAGAAAATTCCTTCTGAATATAGACCAAAGCGGTCTGAAGCGTAAACTGATACAACAACAGGTCCATGATTTACTAAATTTGATGCCAAATCGTCTTCATTTCCATTTAACGTTTCTTGGTCTGTCCTAGAGATTTCTTCTTCCATAAAATCTACATCCTCCTGACAATCTTCATCCGTTCCTACATATTCATAATCTGATAAAGCCACAAGACCATTCTTTTTCAAAAATGCTGTGAAAAAATTGGCATTAGAATTTCATGTCACTAATGGATTGTCTTAAAGTGAAACCTACCTAAAGCTTCATTAGGATATCCACCACTATTGATACAAAATAAATGAAATAAAATTTAATTTTTTAAAAACTATTTAAACTTACTCGCAAGAACCTGCTCCTGCACAATCCATAATATACTGAGGTGATAAATAGGTGTCATAATTAGAATCATCTCTTTTTAACTGTGCCTCAACTTGAGCTGCTGATGCAAAGGCCCAACAGCTTCCACAGTTTCCTTGGTCTAATGGTGGCATACAGAATTCTTGGTACGAAATCTCTTCAGGCAAATGTGGCCGAGTTATGTTGACGATTCTTTGTGGAACTCGAGGTGTGCCTTTAATTGGATGTAGATACTTTTGTCTAAATTCTTCTTTACTCATGTCCGAAAATTGATTATGTCCCATTTTGTATGTAGCAAGTCCTTTCGAATATTTTTCATTATGCTGATCGATCATGACATCTTTTAATTTAAAGTTTTTGTATCTAGTGACCTCTTCCTGCTTACTGGGATATTGCTTGTTAAATTTGGTCTTGTAAGTCAACCAATGCTGATCATGTTGATGTGGCTGATCAAAAACTGACAGTGCCAGTGATATAAATATTATTGACTTCATTACACGTCCGATAAGTGAGAGCCCTAAGAGGAACGAAAGGAGCCCTTTACTCCTATGAGAATAAAGACTAAACTGAACACTTTGATGAGAATTTACATATTATTTATAACAATCATAATATGACGAACAAAATTACAATTAATCACTGGGCCACAAAATTTTGATGAGCATTAGATGAGTCAGAATTTTTTTACCGATCACCAGTCAGTGCTGAAGTTTTAGTCATACTTTATCAGTTTTACATTAAAAAATAAAAGTTTTATAGCTTATGATTATCAAGTTCTCAGTAAATCATCATTGCTTATTTTAAACCGCAGAAAATGATTTTTTGTAACTTAAAAGGAGTATATGAAAAAAAAATATATATATAGATGACTATATTTGAGACTGTGTACTTATTAAGCAGTGTTGCATTCTGGCCATTTGCCTGGATCAGATAAATTCTGAGACAGAAATTTCTTCATAAAGATCGATTCTATATGAAAATAGAAAATCTAATCTACACAAAGATTATTTCTACATAAAGATTTTGTCTACATAAAGATTCGATGTAGATGTCTACAATTCTACATTTTTTCCAGGTCTACATCACAGAATCTTTATGTACAAATAATCTTTGTGTAGATTAGATTTTCTATCTTCATGTAGAATCGATCTTTATGAAGAAAGTTTCTTAGCTAGACAAAAACTATTGAAGAATCTACATTCTTCATCTAGTGTAGACATCTACATTTGCAACACTGTTATTAAGTAACGCAGAAAAATTTGATTTGGCAAAATATGTACAAAGAAAATATCCCAAAATCTCAACCTCCCCCTCCCTCACCTCTAAAAGTGTTACTTAATAATAATAATAATGCGTGAAGGGCCCAGCCTTTCAATGCGATTCAAATTAGAACAGAATCTATTGTACCACACCCTTTAGACCTGCAGTTTATAGTGGGATCCGAACCACTTGCAAGCTCTGCACATTGCAAAGACACGAGCACGTCATAAGACCTGATGTACCCTGCAATGTATCTAGTCACAATTCGTGTGCGCAAGATGCCGTAAGGAAGTCATCCAGATGCTAGTATATCCTTGTATACCTAGCAAAGGAGGTCTATTCTGTGCCAAAGGCCTTAAAACTACACCCAACACACGAACCGAGCTTCGTAACTAGAACGGTGAAGTGGAAAAAGAGCTTCGAAAATTAGACATGGCCTGGGATTGAACCCAGGACCTTTGGCACGGAAGGCTAATGCTCTACCATTTAGGCCACTGGTGCCACATTACTTAATAAGTGTTACTTAATAAGTGAACGTTCTCTTTATGATTCCAGAAAATAAAGTTGAAATTTATCAGCATTTATAGAAACTATAACAGTATTTTGGTCAAATCGGGAAGGAGAGGTTCAAATCCTGCTTGCTATGCCACTGATGGTTCTAAATTTTTAAGTTTTATCTTCAAAAGTGATTAAATTTTCAAAATTTTGTTATTTTTAAAAAATAAGAAGAACTTTATTGAATCTTTAACTTATCGAATAAAAATAAATCTTCAATCTTAAAACCATAGCAATAATGATGTACAAACGATCTACACAACAGCATATCGAATATAGCAAGCGACATTACAGTTATTTTTCATGTTTTTCCATCCTTTGATCATTCGAACAAACCCGTTGTCACCCCAAGTTTTTCCCCAACTATTTTTGATTATCCAATAATCAACAGGTTCCGTGAATGATGTTTTGTCAGTTCCATATCCCACCAAAAGGACAGCATGATTGATGTTATTGCAATTCGATTGACAACTTTGGTCAAAGTAGATTCCTTCCTTATAGTTATAGAAACTACTTACGATTTGAATATAAACGACGACAGGTCCAGTATTTATTAAGACTTTCTTTAAACTTTCTTCATCTCCAGATATAAAGTAGCTGGATGTTGACTGAATTTTCTGAGGAAGTTTCGGAGTGTTATTATTGCAGCTGTTCTTTGTACCAGTGTAAGGATAGTCTTTAAGGCCCACAATTCCGTTATTCTTCATGAAAGCTAATGGAAATTATTAAAGAACCTTAATATCAATATTATACATGTAAAACCTTACCTAAAGCAGTTTCAGACTGTCCACCACTAGATTATAACATAAAATCATTAATATCAATGAAGCTTGTCAATGTTGATAAACTTACTCGCAACTTCCACCATTTGAGCAATCGAGTAAATACTGAGGAGATATATACTGACTAAAATCCGAATATTTCCTCTTTAATTGAGCTTCAACTTGAGCAGCAGCAGCAAAGGCCCAACAGCTTCCACAACTGCCTTGATTTAATGGTGAAAAACAATAATTTTTGTATGATAATTCGTCTGGGTCTGTGAAGGATGTGTTGAAGGATAATTCAGTATCATCCTGCTTTGGCTTTATTGGATGAAGATAAATTGCTGCAAATTCTTCATGACTCAAATCCGAAAATTCATTGTGTCCCATTTTGTATCCAGTTTTCCCTTTTAAATAATTTATATTGTGTGCCTTAATTTGTTCGTCTTTTAACTTGAAGTTGTTGTAGCGATGAACTTCTTCTTGTCTATTGAGATAGTTTTTGCTATACTCGATCTTATAGTTGTTCCAATTCTGATCATTTTTGAATGGTTGATCAAACACTGACATTACCAATGAGATGAAAATTATGGAATTCATCTCACAAGTTAAGTTTTAGGACTGCTCAAATGCTTAGCTCAATAATAACTGGACCTTTATAAATTAAACTGATGTATTTATGCCAAATTTTTAGATTGTAACTACGAGAACCAAAATTTTTTATGATTCATTAACATAAACGTGATTTAATCATGATTTATCATCCCACGTAACCATAAGTCGACGAATGGAAGATTTTATGTATTACATCAAAATCTTCCATGTATGTTCCATATGTACATTCCATGTATCGTACATTGGACATTATGCTAATATGAAAAGGGACGATTTTTAGTCGATTTTACGTCGATTTCACGTCGATTATTTTTTTGAACCAAAATCAAATTTTTTTTGACCGTTACAATATAAAAACCGATTAACGGAAAAATTTTGAATTTTTTTTCATGAAAATATTTTTTTTAAATTATTCTATAATTTGTAGACAAAATCCAAAAAATTAATTAAGGATTTTGTCTTTGAAAAAAAGAGTCGGAGTCTTCATTTAAATGAATGATTCGCTTGTAATTAATTTAATTAATTAATCACACTTTGTATGAAAATTTGGCTGTGCCTTATATAAGTGATTTCTGATTGCACTTGTGAAGTATATAGCGGCTCAAGAAAAACGAATGTAATGGATGAAAAATCGACGTCTGTTGGATCATCCAAAAAATTGTACATTTAAGTCGATTTTTTCATTGACGGCGATTTTGGTTACGTGGGATTCTATGTTGAAATTTAGATTTTTTGTTAAATTCATCAGCAAAGTGAGTTAAAAACGTAGTCAGCAGGACCCTGGGAGCCATTGACATTAAATCTCCTCATACTTGAAGTCAAAATTTCAAAGTTATTTACTTAAAAAAAATCCTATTTACGCCCCTAAATAAAGCACTTTGCCATATATTAAAGTAATATCTAATAGCTCTGGAACACAATAGTAACAAAGTGACATTTCGCTGCTTATTGCCAATAATTTAATTTTTATTATTTTCAATACAATTCCAACACTGAATCTTGGAATCATCTGGGAATCACCCTGTCTGTAAATGACTAGTTCGCTGAATGAATTTAGATCTTTTAAATTATTAATCACGGTTAATGATTCACGGGCGGTTAGTTTTTTGTTGCGGTTTTGTGAAAATAGTTCATAAAATGCAAGTTTAAAAACTTAAGGTTTAATTCTAGATGAGTCACTAAGTTTTATTAAGCATATTGAAGAAATCCAAAAAAAGGTCATACCTTTTGCATATGCAGTCAAAAGAGTAAGGAAATCAATTTCACATAAAACATACGCAATAAACATGATCGAAATTACACAAAGAAAAGCACTAAGGATCCTTTTTAATAAGGACTGGTTCTGTAGCAAAAAAGAATTATATAGCATAAATATCCTTCCAGTGTCAACACTCTGTAACGTCAATCTTTGCTTACATGTTTTTAAAATATCATCGAGTATGGTTAAGAATAACATCCAGATTAGACAAGTCAATGATGTCCATAGATATCGAATGCGTACCCGAGAAAATTTTGTAACTCCCAACTATCAAACGCACTTAAGCAATCAGGATTTTTACGTTAGAGCTTTTAATTTATTTAATTCTCTACCTCCAATGGTTAAGAATAAATTCTCATTAAATATATTTAAAACTAGAATAAAGGAGCATTTTTACGAATCTTATTGTGAAATTAATAAAATGTAATGTGATATAGCTAGTCATAAGAATTTATATTTTGTATCTCAATTGTAAAATTATATACAAATAAATCAAACAAATCAAAAAAAAAATCATAAAAACTTTTTAAAAAATGTTTTATTAAATTTTTGATTCATTTGATCCACTTTAGAAAGACATTTCATTGTTGGTATGTCCAAAATACTGTCTATACAACAGCATATCTAATATAGCAGGCAACATTACAGTTATTATTCATTCCTTTCCGTCCTTTAATCATTCGAAAATATCCACCTTCGCCCCATTTTGTTCCCCAACTATTTTTGATTATCCAATAATCAACAGGTTCTTTGAATGATGTTTTGTCAGTTCCATATCCAACTAAGACAACAGCATGATTAGTTTTTTCGCATGTAGATGGACACGAATCATCAAAATAAATTCCTTCTTTATAATTTTTAAATGTCTCTAAGACTAAAATTGATACAGAAACGGGTCCAATATTTATTAAGGCTTTCTGCAAACTATCTTCATTTCCATGTAAACTTTTAATAGATGTTGATTTAATTTTTTGCGGAAGTTTTGGTGCTTTTGAATTGCATTTTTGTTGTTTGGTGCGGTAAGGGTAGTCGTTGAGGGACACAAATCCATTATCTCTCATGTAATCTAATGATAAAATATCAATAACTGAATATTACATCGAATTTGTAAATTACTTACCTAATGCTGCTTTAGTGGAACCTCCCCTGATCAACGGAAGAATTGTATTAAGTTTATTAAAATTATTGGTGATTTCAACATACTTGCAAGTGCCACCGCCAGAGCAATCGAGCATGTATTGTGGAGATATATACTGTTTAAAATTTGAATTTTTCCTCTTTAATTGAGCTTCAACTTGAGCAGCAGCAGCAAAGGCCCAGCAGCTTCCACAACCACCTTGACTCAATGGAGGAAGACAGTACTTTTTGTATGAAAGTTCGGCTGGGTCTTTGAGAGATGTATTGAAGGATAATTCATTATTATCTATTTCTGGCTTTATTGGATGTAAATAAATTGCAGCAAACTCTTCATGACTCAAATCCGAGAATTCATTGTGTCCCATTTTGTATCCAGTTTTCCCTTTTAAATAATTCATATTGTGTGCCTTAATTTTTTCGTCATTAGATTTGAAATTGTTGTAACGAAGAACTTCTTCATGTCTGTTGAGATAGTTTTTGCTGTACTCTATCTTGAAGTTATTCCAATCCTGATCACTTATGAATGGTTGATCAAACACTGACATTACTAATGATATGAAAATTACAGAATTCATCTTAAAAACTATGAATAAGAGTTTGCAAATGCTTCAATTATTTACTGACATTACTCCAGAGCAAATAAAAGTATTTATAGCAAAAATCTTATCATTAGCATACGAATTTTTGTGATTCATTAGTTAAAGAAAATGTATTATGCTTTTAAGATTTATTTCAGCTGACCTCAAATTAAATTATGATATCATTTGGATTGCTCATGAAAAGATCAGATGCTTTGGAGTGAATTCAGTTAAACTACTATTAAGTGTTACTCCATTAAAGTCTTCAAAAGCATAAAGGTTTTATGAAAGTCATAAAAGAAAACTTCGAATCTAAACAGACAAAAATGAGTAGAAGTTAAAATCCTAGTACAAGTTCAAATCCCCCTTGACTACGTTCCTGCCAAGCATTATAATCATAACAATTATTCATATTTGCGATATGAAAGTCCCAGTCATTTGTGCAAATGTATTATGTACTGCATATATTTTGAATTGTGCTTATAAAAATACGAACAACTATTTAAATCGATGACCCCCTGTACTGATAAAGGTACAACTTTAAATCCAAATTTATGCAACTCCAATAAATGCAGCAAAATAACTCGTACCTATTTATGGAACGAATTTGGCGAAGCCAAAGTGGAACTAATGTAATTTTATTTATTTACAACATTTCAAGTTTTAAATTCACAGTTTGTATGCTATTGACTTTCAGCTTAGAGCTCTTAAAGTATTTTAAAATGACTATAGGATTTTCCATTGCATTGATAGTCTTTGTATCCATTTCTTCAGTTTTTTTGATGAACGCTGATGATTTAATAATGAAAAATACGAATGACAATAGTAAGTATGAGAATTCGGTCTAAAAACTAGCTATTGATTGCATCTTTATCAGTTGAGCATTTAAAGAACATTGATGAAAACGATCATGCAGAGATATACAGTGGTCAAACTGAAGGAGATATGGTTCTGACTCCTTTACAGAAAGAACTCTTGTATAAAGGACCTAAACATAGAACAGGTTTGGTCAATTTAACTAGAAAATGGACGAATAATGAGATTCCTTATAAGATTGCTAAAGGAAATTTTAGTAAGTTTGTGTGCTGAGGATTGTAAATAACACTTAATCTAAAATTTCCTATTATAATACAGGTTGGCTACAAGAACAATTTATAATCCTTGCTACAAAGAAGCTAATGGAAGTGTCCTGCATCAAATTTGTGCCTTATGATGAAGATTATCATAAGAACTATATTTCCATAGTCGTAAGCTAAATGTTTAACTGATAGAGCAATGAAGATGTAGCCTAAGAAATTCCACACACCTCCAAAAATTCCTAGCTTCATCCCCTGCAATCATAGCTATCAGTTATATAAATAAGGTCGTGATTAATGAACGACCTCTTAAGCAATAAACTTTTAATTCTGTTTCTTCAGGGCCAATTTGCAGGATGTTTCTCACAAGTTGGGATGATTGGCGGGAGACAAATACTAAACTTAGCACCATCTGAAATTGGAGTGGCCTGCTTCAAATTCTACTCAATAGTTCATGAATTAATTCATGCCCTTGGATTCGCTCATATGCATTGTGCCTCGGAACGTGATGAATATATTGAAGTTATTGAGGAAAATATTTTGGCAAATCAATCGCATAATTTTCAAAAGTACAGCAATAATGTCATTACTCAATTTGGAATCGATTATGATTATGGATCTGTTATGCATTATCCAGCAAAAGCTTTTTCGAAAAACAATCAATCGACACTGATTCCTTTAAAGAGCTTAAATGGAGTAGAGATGGGGCAACGGCAAAGGTTGAGTGATTCAGACATAGCAAGAATCAATGCTAAATATTGTTAATTAAAGGATCCAAAATAATAAAACAATTAAAAGGAGCAGCAATACTTTATTCTATAGCTTGATACTTTTTATGATGAAAAATCAATCATGCATGCAATATTGCAGTTATTCTTATAGGTAGGTGAATTTCTGATGATTCGAATATATCCAGCTTCGCCAAAACTTGGTCCAAAACTATTCTTGAACAACCAGTAGTCAAGTGGCTCAGAATAAGTTTCAGTGTCTGTTCCATATCCAACCAAAAGCATTGCATGATTAACTTTCTGGCATTGATTTGGACAGGTTTCATCCCAATAGATTCCACTTTCATAATGCATAAAAGTTCCTGGAACCACATACATTGATACGACAACTGGACCTACGGCTGCTAAAACATTCTTTAACAGATTTTCATCTCCATTCAAGTCGTAGTGAGTAAACGATGTGACTTGTTGGGTCAGTTTTGGGATGTTGGCTTTGCAAGTTTCTTCAATAGCTGTGTATGGATAGATTGCTGCATCTACTAGTCCGTTTGTTTTAAGAAATGCTGAAATGGAATTAATTTCTTGTTATTTAATTTGTAAGTTTTGAGATAAAAAATGATTTTGCTTACAAAAAGCATCTGAAACAGCACCGCCTGTTCTGTGAACAAAAATGAGTAAATATTAGATATGAGATTGAGAGTTATGCACAAATGATACTTACTCGCATCCAGAATTAGGTTGACAGTCTAACAAATATTGAGGAGATATTCTAGTGCTGTATGCAGGATCCTTCCTTTTTAGTTGAGCTTCAACCTGAGCAACAGCTGAGAATGCCCAGCAACATCCACAAGCTTCTTGATTCAAAACTGGCAGTGTAGAGGTTCGGTACGAAACTGAATCCGGACCAATTGGATAAGAAGAAGCTGGGACTTTGTTCTGTACTTTTGAGAAGTCACGACGAGTAAATTTATGCAAAAATTTCCTTTCTAAATCAGTATCGTTCCTGTCTGAGAACCTATTGTGGCCCATTTTGAAATGAGTTTGGCCAGTCTTTTGCCTTTCATTATGTTTTTTAAATTTATTGTCATTCTTCTTAAACTCATTGCGACGCTTGACTTCTTCTTCTGGATTCTTGTATCCTTTCTTATTTTTTTGCTTGTAGTTATTCCATTTGACTTCATCGTCGTCATCATCATCACGTTCATCACTATCACTGTCATGATGACTATTGCTGTTACTTTTGCTACTATCATCACGATCACGATTCTTACTTTTACCTTTATTGTCAGCAACAACTGCTATAACGAGCAGACATAACGCAAAAATCAAAATCAACTTCATTATTGATAAGACTATCAAAATAAACTGAGAAGACTAAGAGATGATTCAGATCTTTATATTTATTCAATACCACTAAATAATCATCTTTAAAGTCTGGTCAAGTATTTATAAACAACTTCAGATGTCCAAAATTAAGTTTAGAACATCATTTGCCAAAACAAAGATGATTTTTGTATATTTTGTCTGCATGAGTGCGGTTTGAAGCAGATGTGGATTTTAGGTTATGTTTCATGTTGATGACTGGGAGGTGGGAACTTGGCACAACTCAAACTCTTGATTAGAAGTACGTTGTGTGGACGGAAAGTTTTAACCTTAGTGACCTCCTAGTGACGAAGCTAAGGGGATGTTCACTTATGACGTCCAGGGGGGGGGGGGGTCAGCAAGAAAAGAACAATAGAAATTTTGGACGTCACAAGTGAATGACCCCTAACCCTGACAAGAAAGACTTAATATTCTTCAACATCTTAAAAATCTGCGCTTTAAAATTAGCTTAAATCAAAAATTCAACTTGTTTCATATGAATATGTAAAGACAATCTTGAATGTCAGATAAGAACGAGTTTCTTTTATTTTTTTGATGCTTACAATGTCTTAATTGTTTGTGTATTGGTTAATCTCTTAATAAATTATTAGGTTTTAAAATTAAGATTAGTATTGCGATTATGCTTTCTCGCTATCAGGATCGGGATCGGGATTTCCCGGGATTTACCGATCCCGATCAATCCCGGGATCCCGAAATTTATCGGGATCGGGATTGAAAATCCCGGTTTTTTAATTTAGGAAATTATTGATGTTTTAGAACCTGCTAAATACGCGACAGAAGAATTATTGCGTAAATCAGACGATTTATTAATTGCTGAAGGAACAATTAACTTTTTGCTAGACGAATTGTTGCTACAAGGAACATTATTGTCTCAAAAGGTTTACGATATGAATTGCGCTCGCATAGGTGCACGAAGAAATGGAACATTAATTGACTTAATACTTTACCTCAATATATTTCTTTAGACAAGCATTTTAAATCGTCAACAAAAGCTGCAATACATAAACTTGGCATTGACTTATTGAAAAAGTATTTTGTCAAAAACTCTACAAATGGAGCTATGGAAGCTTCAACATCCAGTGCAAATCAAATCCAACCGTCAAACATTTCTATTCGAGATAGACTGAAACTAAGCATATCTGAATATACATCATTAACAACAGATGCAGCAGCAACAGAACCAAATAACTTGAAAAGAGAGTTTAATTGGTATGACAAAAATAAGAAGAGAACCGGTTTGTTAGATCAACTTTACGATGCATTGATAACAATGCAGCCGACCTCAACTCAAAGCGAACGAAATTTCTCTATTAGTAACAACATTCTTACAAAACAAAGAAAACGTTTACTTGACAAGAATCTAAATGCAATTGCATTTGTTAAAAGTTTTTTCATTAATGCTTAATTTTTATTATTATATTCACACCGTTTTCTATAACCTTTAAACTTACATCTTTATCAACATTTATTTTCTATTTTTGTTTATGTTCACATTTTTCAAAGGAAACATGGATTAAAACATCTACCTTGTAACACATAAAGTATAACTAATTAATTAAGGAATAAATGACCGTATAAGTAGCAAAAAAATATACAATTTTTTTTGGAAAAAAAAGCAGAAAAATGCTGTTTTTTAAATTTTTTTACATATTCGGGATTCCCGGGATTTCCCGGGAAATCCCGAAAAATTTCAATCCCGATCCCGATCCCGAAAATTTGTCGGGACCGGGATTTCGAGAAAGCATAATTGCGATTTAAATGTCTTAGTTTGTTTACACCCGAGCAGCACATTGACATTATTAATCACTTTTTGACAATTTATGTAGCTGGTTAGCTGAGTGATTAGCAAACAGTGATGTTAGATCTAATCATTATTTATGTTTTGATCAAGGGTTAAAATTGATAAACTTGAATATTTTTTTTTTGTTTGAAATAATTCAGTGGTGTCAAACCTTTTTTGCTACGGCACACATTGATGCTAAGCCATGAGCAAAACCGCACACGGCATATGGTTCGTGGAATTTCTCAAATTTTCACACTAGTGTGTCGCGGCACATGGGTTGGGTATCACTGGAATAACATAAGTAGTCATTCACTTTTGATGTCCATTGGAGGAAGGACGGGGGTAGCTATAAAATAACAATAGGAATTCTAGACTAATTTTGGACTTCATAAGTAAACGACCCCTAAGGGCCGTTCATTAATGATGTCAACCATTTAAGGATAAAAGAGAGTCCGTTGCTGTGTAACACTTTTAAAAATAAAACATGAACATTTTGGTAACAAAGAAAATTAAATTATTGATAGCCATCATTTATGAATGATTGGTAACTTTAAAAAATAAATTTAAATAATTATAAAAAATTTCTTTCCAAAAAATACAACAAGCCAACAACTTAAATCCATCGATGGTTCTATTACACATAACATGACAATATTTCATCGTTCCTGTAGAGATTTAAAATATATACATAAATAAAATGAACATTTGTGTAAACATTTTCAAAAGTAATTATACAACCGACTTGTTATTATTTCTCATTTGATCCTCACACAGTTAAACTTTTAGGACCCTTTCGTATTAACATTTTTTCCATCCATCCCTCTTGTATTTTTAAATAGCATTAATGAAAATATAAAAATTTGTATCCCATTGCAGCACGTGACAAAAAAGAGAGAAACTCTAAATACGCGTCAATAATTTTAAATACTAGGGTTTAATTGCCACGATATCTTCATTACACATGTGCTGTCGATGCTATTATATTCGAATCGGGGTTGATGCTATTGTAGGAATAAAGTCATTAAAAGGAAGAAAGGGATTAGGATTTTGGGACAAAAATGCTCTCTAAAGTGCGATAATTCATTATTTTTTTTGTTGAGTAAATAAAAAAGAGAATTTGAGATTATTTGATCAGTGCCGGCAAAGCAACTGCAAGGAAATTGTTGACATACTTTATTTTAAATTGAATCCTATATTAAAGTTATTACTGTATTAAATATTTTAAAACGTTTTAATGATTTTTAATTCTTGTAAAATTTGAAATTTCAACGGTATTTTAAAATTTGAAACTATAATGGTTTTTAAAAATTTGAAATTATAACGGTTTTTGAATATTTGAATTTTTAACTGTATTTCAAAATTTGAAATTCTTAGCGGTATTTTAAAAATTTGGACTTTTAACGGTATTTTAACATTTAAAATTTTAACGGTTTTTAAAAAATTTGAAATTATAACGGTTTTTGAATATTTGAATTTTTAACGGTATTTTAAAATTTGATATTCTCAGCGGTATTTTAAAAATTTGGATTTATAACGGTTTTTTAAAATTTAAAATTTTACCGGTTTTTTAAAAATTTGAAGTTTTAACGGGTTTTTAAATATTTGAATTTTTAAAATGTTTTAAAATTTTAAAAACTTAATGGTTTTCAAAGTTTGAAAACAAAACGGTTTTTTTAAAATAAAAGTTTAACCTTTTTTAACGGATTTTCAAAATTTAAAATGTTTATTTCTTAAAATAAATGTTTCAAAAGTTTAAGTTTTATATTGATTTAACCTAATATGTGAAATTTCACAAATCACTAATTTTTTCAATTTTTATCAAACAGAGAAATGAGAGAAGAACAGCAACAGAAATATGTCAGCAAATATTCTCCACATCCAATTACCATACAATTTAATTCCAAAGATCAACGTCAAAAAGTTCAAAAAAAGATTTGTGGCAAATGTCATTTAGAAACCACAGAAACTACTCATCATATCATTGTTAAGCATGCCACAAATTGTAGATTTGAAATTAAACTCGTCACTTTTAAAATTCCCAATTGCCATAAAATAGATGTAATTTAATATTCATTTGTATCATGCATGTGTCTGGTTAGTAAAAGTTTTGAAAGAAACTTCATCAACAGTACAGAAAGTCAGATCCAAGAATTATTAAATTCCCCAAAAAATAATTTTTTTTTTTATTCCACAAATAAAATTCCTTCTTACTCAATTACATTGCAAAAGTAAGCGACTATCATCATCATCATGATAATCCATAGCTGAATGTGTGCAGAATTAAAAGTATGAGAAGCAGTAGCAGTAGCAGTAGAAGATAGCAATATGAAAACTAATTAAAACTATGCTATATGTCTGTGCCGATGCTGCTGCAGGCATAAATTTTTATCCTTCCTTTTTTTTCATGCTCTACGGTTAGAGTTAAAGTGTCAGACATGAACATGGGATATGAATGTGTTCAAAATTGCCACAAAACATTATGCAGTTGAAATAATTTTCAACACAATAGGCAAAAATTAAATTATTTAAACGCCTAGAGATGATTCGGCTATGCTACTCATGGTGGTACTCAAAGCAGTTATTGTTGTTGAATTTCCAACATCACCTACTGTCGGAGAGCGCTTTGATGCTAAACTAAATTGAATGAGTATTATCAGGTAGCTGGTAATCGCCCCAGATATAGAATAAATCGTTTCCATGTCAAGATCAAAAAATCCACAGGCTGTAAAGTTTAGATGATGGTTGAGTAACTTCAACGACAAGTGATTACAAACATTATACAGATGATTCTCATCCACAACATTTGCGATTTTGTGTAACTGTACGCCCGTCTTTTGTGAGTCAATTTTCGTTTTCCAGCTTATGTAAATGACGACAACACATTTGTATGCGGTGTAGACAATCGACACAATGGTCAATCCGATATTTTTTGCCGTCCGAAATAGCACTGGAATGAACTGAGGCACTTATTAAAATTAATTAATCAACTTAATGAGTCGCAAGCATTTTACCTGATCCTGTAAGCCACAATACATGAAGTAAAATTGTGCGGTTATGAAAATGAAGCCATAAGCCATTGTTATAAGCATTTGAATGCTGTACATTCGATTCACTTGCTTTGCTATTTCACAAATTTCGTCATGTGCCCGACATAAATTGATTAATTTCATGTCCAGCTTCTCGCCAACCATCACATTTGATTCGGTGAGCATTGAACCTGAAAATAAAAATAGAAAGGAACTTCCGTTAATAGCGCAGAACGTTCACAATCAATCATTCACACGTAGACAACGTTATCGACCTTTATAAGGAGCAACCTGAATAATTTTCTTCATCGACTTTACTCCGCTTAAATTGTTGACATCACCAACTTTATTTGTTTTATTGTTACGTGCTTCCTCCCAGTAGTTCCACCCATCCATTTTACCACTTGTCGTTGAATAAATTTCCTTCTCCAAATAGCCGACAGTCTCCATGAATAAATTATCCTTTCTCGATGGCTTCAATTCGACGGCTTTTACGTGACGTAATTTTCTCTCCTGAAAGCTCCTTTTTATTTCATTTAAATAGGTGTTAATTGCACGGAGACGACTTTGAACGAGTAGGATAAGCATCAGGAACCAAGTTTTAGCTATCACATCGATAAATAATGGAATGCAGCTAATGAACCATGTGAGTGCCTGGATTATTGAAAATTCTTCCCTAAAGATAAAAACCACGGCATATCCAATTCCAAGTTCACATATTATGAATATAATCAGGAATACGGCTGATGTAAAGCGATTCTGACGGTTATCAAGGTACACATTCTCTTTCTCCAATTTATTATCAATCTCCTGTAAGCGATCAAAAACATCAATTAAAGCCGTTTGATTAATGAGCGCAGCCAAAATGTCGATAGTCATCATGAACGGTTCCAAATAGATTATAAACATCCCAATTATAGCCGTCAATGTGCTAATTTTATTCTCTGAATCTCTCTCGATCATTGTCTCCGACATGAGGATGTGATAAGCGACGATATAAAATATGCAGGATAGGACGGAAAAGGCACACCCAAATGATGAAAGTTGTAATCGCTTTTTCGTGATGTAATCACTGAGTGAATAAGGAATTAAGCCAAAAAATTTTGATACATAAAATAGGCCGTCCAATGACTCTAGAATTGGACTACGGAAAGTTTTCTTGCTGTCAATTTGTTGGGCGCGATTAACAATTGCCATCTTTGCAGGTGTAATTGAATGATGGATGGTCAGTTCTGCCTTACTGTCTGTTAAGTTGTAGAGTCTACAAACTAAAGTGAGTTGTCTATAAATTGTGTCAACTGACTGCGGATAAAAGTCAGTTCATTACTAATTGAGGTAAGTTGACTACATTTTGAGGTATGTATTCTATGGTTTGTTGGATGTCTTGTTTTATTTTTATATAATTAAAACGTATGTGCACACTAATTGATATTTTGATGACAATAGTTGATAATAATGCATTATAATCAAATTAATTTCATGCTTCATATTTTGCGGGGTGATGTGGGCTTCCCAGTGTGATGAACAACTGCAGTCATAGTACGATGTACTATATTACACGATAGACCGCAATCGCTTCCTTGTTGCATGGCAAAAAATAAACAATCAAGTTTTGCGGTTTGTAAATTGAGTCATAATAATTATGAGTACTATATTTTGCGGTCGCGGGTAGCTATTAGGATTATGATGAGCAAATGAGCTTCATGAGAATTTTTAAATTTTGATAGTTGGCTGTAGATAGAATTTGTCGCATGGATAGAACTATTAAGTCATGGAAAATACCTAAAATATTGCAAATGAAATCACAGACATAGCTGATTCGACGATTTTTTGTTCTCACTGGGTATGGAAAAGAATTAATGAGAGAAAAAAAAATTCATTAAACAAATTACTAAAACCCCGCAAACTATATCTCTTCCACTTAATCGAACATTAATTGGATTAATAAATTGAAACAATATTTTATTTTTACCACACACACAGCCAACCAGCTAGCATTAATGGATTGATTTGAGATGAAGCTTTGTGGGGAAAAAATAAAACAAAAGAAGAATAAACATTGAAGGAATTTCTCATTCTATTTTCATCGGGGGTAATTCATTGATGGCGTACATCAAAAAATAGAATATAAAAAATAGAACTACTGCACACCTTAATAGTAGACCATTACCAAAACCACACAGGGCGTGTGGTTCGTGGTATTTCAAGAGTTTTCTGCGACACACTAGTGTGCCGCGGCACACAGTTTCGATAACACTAGTATATTCGGACCTTCTCGAGGGGGAAACAACATGTTGGGAAATTCTACTGAGTTTCAAAAACTTAGTAGGAAATCATGAAATGTTGAATGTTGAAATGCTTATCAATTTTTTCCCATCATGTTGTTTCCCCCTCGACCCCCTTCTCCTCACTTACTCATATAAATTCAAGACAAGATATTCATTCTGTAATGTACCCTAATCCCTCTTCACCCTCAACAATAGACGTCACAAATGAACGTCCCCTCATTCCCTTCAAGCTTTTAGTTTGTAAAGTTTGAAAGCATTTTGATGTTTAACATAAAATTAATTTCTTCATCCTCAACTTTGCTCCTGCTTGAGACAATAGACATCAGATAGAATGGATGATGATGAAGGGAAATATTTCCTTCTTCTCGTCTTCTATTACTCAAAAGATAAATATTTGCTTTCACCATCCGAACATTTTTTGGTATCGTATCTTATTGGGAAATACAAGAAATGAGGAAGACGAAGAAAATTTAATTGCTAGAAAATTTAATAAAAATTCTTTGTGGGCTTATTGAAAACTGAAACTTGGTTGAAGAACAAAAGGAGATCTTTTTATTTGGGGATGGATTTTTTGGGGAAGTTGTGAATTGTAAGTTTTTCGTTCAATTTGTCTGGTTGCTGCAATGGATGAATTATAGATAGGATGTTTGAGCTCCTAAAGACACCCTTTGCTATTCAATTAGGCAAGAACTATGAGGGTATGATGTCCTTGAGATGATTAATAGTTTATAATTGCTTAGTTCTGGTTAGCCTTATCTAAAGCTTAATAATCTTCCTTAACTTACTTACTTCGATGTCTGTGCTATTCAACTATAAAAGCATAGGCTTAATGCCAACTTTAACCTAGTTTGGGGGAATCGTGTAAGCGTGGGTAAAGCTGGCTCATACGTTGGCTATCAGCTGTCGTTTCCTGATACAAATCTAATTGCAATATCTCTAGCAACCGCCTCTTTCAATGAGTTCCTTGGTCTTTCTATTGCGCACTTACTATTTTAAAGTTCAGAAAACCTTCCTACACTTATTGTATCGATTATAGTCACTAAGCATATTCTGAGGAGCCTTATAAGTAACAAAAACAGGCAATGTTGGTTATCAGACTAATAAAGGACATAAAAATCAAGAATCTTGACTCAAAAATTCCCAACTCAAATTGTTTTGTTTCAACAAAATCAAAAACATTGAACTTGCTCCACTTTACATTTCCCTCGCTCTCAAAAAAATCTCCATGGAAACAGAATCGATCGATTCAACTTTTTCAAAGTATAGAAGGAACAAAAAATGAAATAACAAACAAATTTTCCTTCATTTCCAAAATAAAATCGTTGCTTATTTTGAGTTTGTTGCTAAAAAGTTACAGATTGTATTACTAAGAACGGAAATAAGCTTCATCATCATGATATCGTGTTTGTGCGTAGGACCAAAAAACTCTGGTAAAACAATGCTTCTGACAAGCATCCAATATCCCGACAGTGTCAATTTTACATCGCATTCCGTCAACACAGTTGGAACCAATATCTTTACAATCAATTATGTACCGTCAGCTGAGAAGAAGCCACTGAAGAAGAATGCCAAGAAAAGTATCACGGTTCGGGAGCTTGGAGGGGAAATGGCAGTAATGTGGAAAAATTATTACACTGAAGCTGTAAATAAGATTATATTTGTTGTCGACACATCCAATTTGTGCCAAATTTCTTGTGCTGGTGAGATTCTTTTTGGCTTAATTAAAACTTTGCTTTCTTGAATAAACTTATTTAATCCCACCCTGAAAATAAAACTTTTGTTATTTGTTTCAGGCGTCCTGCTGTATTCAATTTTGGTTGAGCCGAGACTACAAAAAACAAAAATATGTTTGGTATTGACAAAAATGGATTATGCTTATCGGCAAATGCGAAATGAGGCTCTGCTAATGCTTCAAATTGAGACATTAAAGAAACAAATTCCACAAGATATAACGATAATTGAAGCTAGTGCCATCACAAAAGAGGGTTTGGATCAAATAACTGAATGGCTCTTTAATTGAGTTTTTCTCTCTTCCTCGACCACAAAAACAGAATAGAATAGTGAAAAAAAAGTTATTTTTTCTTCCTTCCAACTTTTGTGCTCATTGTGTTGACTTTCCCTTTGTTTTGTGTATGGGAGAACAAAAATGATGATAATAAAGCACCCGACAGTCGTGTATTGTCGTGGATGAATTGAAGTGAAGCCTGGAATTAAATTTATGAGTTTAGATACTTTCTCTCTCCTGAAATCTAGATAATGACTTAAATTTTCAAGCTACCAGACGATAAATTTGAGGCAATTTATTCTCCTGTTCCGGTACTCAGCTTATAGTCTTTTATAAATGGAATCCATAGGGATTCTGGAATGTCGTGAGATCATTTTCAAGGAGGAATAAATTGATTGGAATAATATTAGGTATGTAAGTTAAAACTTCGAGAGTAAGGAAAGGTTTGTCTTGAAAAATATCAACGGTCATTTAATATTTAAATTGTATTTGGAACTACAACTAGTTCATTTCCCCTTTTGAAGTTATAAGTCCTGGAATTTTTATTGTGTTTTGAACTTCAAATAATAAATCTCATTTTGAAGAGTTTTAATTATACTTATTATATATATATATATATTATATTATAGGGGGGGGGGGGGTGTTGTTTTTTTCAAATTTTTTTCCAATTTTCCACCTTTTTAATGATTTATGAAAAATTATCAAAATAAAATAAAGTAGGAACGTTCAGGGAGGGGGGAAGGTTGTGAGTTGTTACATATTGTAACAAGGGAGGGAGGGAGGGGGGGGGGGGGGGTGTAAAAGTGTAAATTTTTAATGATTTATGAAAAATTATATTTAATTAGAATTAGATAATAAAAATTAGATATTAATTAGAATAAAATAAATTAGGAACGTTCAGGGGGGGGGGGGAGGGGGGGTTGTGAGTTGTTTTGCTTGCCAGATAACTTTATTGTCAGCTCTTCTTTAGATCCGCATCCCAATTTGCTGAAAAATCCTTCTACATTCCCCGAAAATATATGATACTCAACAATACAGCCTCGAATAGCTTCATAAGACATTTCCCCCAAGCAAAAATCCCTAAAGAAGAAGCTCTTCCTCCATATTTTCTTTTTTAGATAAATTTCACGTTTTAAAAGGTTTTTCATCACAGGAAATGATGTTACTGGAAACGGAATGAAAGCCACATCCATACACAAACCACACACAACGAAAAATAAATAATGTTGAAATTATTTTTACGGCACATTAAGCACTGTTGGAGAGAAAGATATAAGTCTGCAGTGAAATAAAAAGCTTCATTGAGTTTTTCGACAAGTCGCATTTAATGGAAAAGAAAGGAAAAGGCGGAAGGAAGAAGGAGCATAACAAGTTATGAAATCCGCATTATCCCACAGGACTTTGCTGATTTTGCCTCCTTTTCTTTTGTCTACTCTTTTTTTGTTCCAATTGAGAATTTGTGGACTCGCTCAACCACAACTTTTCTTCATTCACTTTTGGAGATTTCTACTTGATTCCTTCCATCCGATGCCAACTCGTCCCAGAATTTTCATTATTGTGATGATTTTAATTTTTCAATTTTTTTGCTGTTCATAAAAAAACTTTTTTTGCTGCCTTTTTTTCATAAAAATAAACTTTTTTAATCATCTTTCAGCTCATCATTCAGATGATTATGCACATAAAAAAAGTTATTTATTCTAATGAAACCAACTTTGAAGATTAATGGGGAACAAATGACACATTTCTCATGATTTTTAATTAAATGTCTTGTGTTTTACAGCTGTGAACCATACAGTTGTGTAATGCTTACTTCGCAATGTCTCTAAACCTATTTTTATTTTCATTTCAACATATTTTACGATAACTGGGTGCTTTACTGCTGAAAGAATGTGAGTGGGTTTTTGGGTTTTTGGGAACAGTTTAATGATTAAAGGCATTTTATGGATTATAAGGAAATTATCAAGTCTGAAATTCTCGTAAAAATTCCAAAGAACAGAATCTAGAATTTCTCAAATCCAAAGTCTGGTAAAAAACCTACAATTAATGCATAACGGTCACTTCTGAACACAGGAAGTCAAAATCTCAGCTTTGTTTATTTTATCTGACTACAGTAGCCAAAATAATTGATCCAAACGACTGAATATTACTCATTGCATAATTTATGAGCAAAAATGTTCATTCGAAGACCGCGGGTGCCTTCAAATCACAGAACAATTCTATCTCCATAAATATAATTTGAGGTTTCTCTCAATGAAATCATAAAAAATTTGAGGGGTTCTCAACTTGTGGTTTGCGGTGCAATAATGTTGTGAGCGAGGCTGGTTTTAATCAATTCATTAACATCGACAGAAAAAAAACGTTTTGATTTTAATGAATAAAGACTGAGTCGGGAACGGTTTAAGTGCTGCCTATCTTACAATCGATAGACAACAGTGTGAGACAAACCTTTGCCACCCGAATGCTCTAAGGCTTTCAGATCTTACAGCGCAAAATAAACTTATTATTATTATTATTATTATTTATTTGTCGACGTTACCGTCCGGAAGAATTAGTATTTATACATGTTTTTACTTTTTACATTGATTAGTGATACATTTCATATCACTATGGGTGACGTAGAATCAAGCTTCTAATCTTCAAATCTAGGTTACAAATAAACTAAGGCTCTCGTTTCAATCTTCTGTGGGCGTGACTTGATACATTTTAGGTCCATTCTGACAATATTCCATTATAAGGTAATCTTGTAGCTCTCGTTCCTATTTCTCCCGCTACAATTCAAGTTCCTGACCCGTTCCTTAATCCAACGTTGCCCAAAATGCCCAATTATGGCTTGACTCGTACATTAAGCAGTCGAAGTATCTAGACTTCTGAAAAAGAACAAATTTGGAAATGGCTGGATTCGAACCGACGATCTTCGAGTTACCATCCCAAATTTGAGCCAAGCGCCTTACCTATTCGTCCAGCAAGGCACTTAATTGCTTATGAACTTACTAGTCTACTTTAAATATACGTCATTTAAATCATATGTAAAATCATAGAACAGAATCAAAACAGGTTGACAGACACTGACATAGAATATTCTCATTAAAAGCGATGAAACAATCATGTGCTGTACATCATCATGTGAACTTTCTGCAATTTTGAATTTATTATTAGCTAAAAAATATATATAAAATAAGCTAACGTCATTATTGAGCTAATGTGATGTTTTAATGAATCTAATTCCTCAACCGTATTATGAATCAGTCATATGGTTAGTAAGATGCGCTTCAGCAATCGACAAATGGATAAATAATATTCTTAAACTCAATTTTTGAAAGCTGTTACACCTTTTCCTTTCACGAAAAAAAAACTTCTTATCAGTTATGCTGTATGAATATTAAGCAATCGGATGTATATGTTCCAAAAATTTGCATGAATCGCGTGCCGTGCGTCACAAGAATTCACTATCAATTGTCAATTTGTCATCAATAGATCAACAAAGCGCGCCTCACACTTCAAAGAAATATGTAAATAAGAATTATGAGAGATAACCCCCAAACCCATCCCATTTCAAGGTTGTCGTAAACTTCAACTTCAACTATCAATCAGTGCGACTGTGAATTGTGTGAACTTTTTATTTTTTTTTTTCGTTCTGTTTGTTAGTCATTACAACAAATTGTTGTTGCTTAAACGCATGAAGAAAAATATTCTGCATTGTGTTAAATTACATCAGTCGCGCTGCAAACGTTCAAGTGAAAAGGTGGAAATAAAATTTAAATTTTAGACCAAATAAAAATTAAATTAGAGTCGTTGTGAATTGTCGACAGTGAGAGGAGAAATAAAGCTTAAAAAAAAATTAACAAACAAAAGAAGAAGAATTTGAGAGACAGCAAGAAAGTAACAGCTATAAGTCAAGTTCAAAAATGTTGCGGAAATTCATTGTCTTTGTGAGTGGCGCGAAGCATTTTCAGACGCAATTTATCTTACTGTTTATAGCCGCATTGTGGCGTACTTACGCTAATAAAACTCACTTTCATTCTTTTTCACAGATGATCTTCGTGGTGTTATGCTTGAGTAATGTAAAAGCTGAGCCGCAATCTTCATCGTCCACGTCGTCGAGTGATACACAGGGAAGATGTGAGTGTGTTTATTTTTCATTGTTGGTCGTGAAAGTGGAAGTGGGTTAATTTGTGAAAATAATTTTTGCTTTGTGGGATGGAATCTGAATCTTTTTGGATTCACTTAATAATCTTTGGAACTTTATAGTCTCCATAATTGTTATTATCAGTCGATGCACATGTTTTGAATTGGGCATTGATGCTTTTGCTATCCGGAGTACCATAAGATGCCCTACCTTTCATGACGTAGTGTACATTGATAGTCAATCACAGTACAGAGCATCTCAGGTGGTTCCAGAAACCAGCGTTTCATCCTTAATTTCCAAAAATCAACTAATTTGTCTCTTCTTCCAGTCTTTGACTTAGGATCGATTCTAGGAATCAACAGATACCGACCATATGGTGGTGGATATCCAGGACAATATCCAGGTGGATATGGTGGTGGATATCCAGGTAGTTATGGAGGTGGTGGATATCCAGGCACTTACGGAGGTGGATATGGAGGGTACGGAAATGGAGGAGGATATGGAACAAACTTCATTGGAGGAGGTGGATATGGAGGTAAATAAATATTCTCTAAAATTGTGCTTGTCTTTCCTGTGATTGTATTTAAATGTTAACTATTTCTATTCAATTTGACTAACCCAATTAAGGCTTAGGTGGAAATTATGGATTAAACAGCTATTATGGATATAAGAATGATGGCTATACAGGCGGTGGACACTTAAATTATGGATATTATGATCCAAATTTATTTGTGAATCGAAATGTTCGTCCTCAATATAATCCATCAGGATATCGAGGCTATGACTAAAATAAAATAATTTTGTTAAATTCTAAAGTTGTGCCTTGTGAGTGTTCATGTGTGCATTTATGCATAAAATTAATTTCTCATTGTGATGTACAGTATACGTTTAGTTTTGTGAAAGATAATTAAGTTGAAAGATGAAGGCATGGGAAATGTGTCAATGATGCAAGTTTGCATGATGCACAGTGAAGATGAAAATAGACACGGGAAACTTCGTATGATTAAAATTATTATAATAATAAAAGTAAAATGAGTATAAATGATCATAATAATAATGAAATATGATGTGTTGTGTTTACATGTTGTTATACAATGTTAGCATTAGACGTTGTTGTCAACTAAAGGTGGTGTTGTTCGTGCTGTAAAATGGAATATTACATTGTTTTAAATTCTCGTAATGATAAGAAGAATGTTGAGCAGCAGGAGGAAAAAAAATGTTGTTAACATAAAGGAATGAGTTTTGTTCTGCAAGTCATGGTCATGAAAGGTTTAAAATAATAACTTTAATGGTAGAAAATTCTTAAAGTTTAAAGTTATTATTAAGTTGGATGGATGTTTCAATTAATATGTCAAACAAGTGCCTAGGAAAACCTTCAATATAGTTCTCAAAACTTTTAGAGCATTTAACCACAAAGTTTGGATATCATTGAACGGGGAAGTCCCCTCTTAAGGGAAAAACATGTCTTTAGGACGTAGCCAAAAATAATTTCTGGGTTCAAGACTCTCAATAATAATAATAATAACGTGTTAAGGCCCAGCTCTTCAGCTGGAGGCACTGCGATTCAATTTGTAAAGAATCTATTGTACCACACCCTTCACAAGACTCTCAAATTGGTTCTAATTATAAATTCTAACAGTACCTGAATGATTAGGCTACAAATTTGATCATCGTAGAGGGTCCAAAAACTTCTCTAGACTACACTCATGAATTAAGTTTAAATTTTGTCCGTAACAATACATTTAGTGCATTCTGGGTTTGAAAAAAGCATGAGGCCTGCAAATGCTGAAATTTTATACAAATCTAGCTCCACACTAGCTTAGACCTTTATATCGACTCATATTTCATGCGGAAAAATCCACACAAAATCTAAATCAATGTTTAATTTTACGCCAGGTGCTAAAGCTTTTCCGAACGCACTCCTAAGCTAAAACTATTATTTGAAAAGTTCGAGAATTCATCAAGGGTGCGGAACTTATAAATTACATTTTGATCATTTTTGATAATTTTTGATCGTTTCATCAGTTCCGCATCCTTGGTTTTCATCATGTTCATGAATTGCTTAAAAGTTTGAAGTTCTCTTAAAAAATCCCAAAATTATTCATGAAGATAAATTATCAAAAACCTGAATGCAGTAATTTAAAATTCATTTGATACAAAAATTCATTTCTATAGAACTAAATTCAAAAGTATTAAAAACCAATTCAAATCTAATGAACAAAAAACTTTTCTCTGAATGGAACGTGACTTGGTTCCAAAAATACCATCTATACGAAAATAATATTATTAAACATAAGTAAATTATTGATTTTCATTATAATTACCCAACAACCCAGAAAAAAAAACTATATGAGCTGAAAAAAATTATTTATGATTGCCCAAGGCTTGAAAATTTTCATCCCAGAACGGACGATGAATAAAATAATTTTTATTCCTCTCATTTTCCATTTCTTTCCCTTCATTTAACCGGCTACAGACTTCAGACTATATTTAACACATTTAAAACAGTAATTGAAATGAGATGAATGAGAATTATAATTATTTTAATCATTCGCCATTCTATCTCAATGAATTGATGCCTTCCAACATTTTTATTCTTCTTTACATCATTTTCTTGTTTTGTCTTGTGAGTATGAAGAATAATTTTCATGCCATTAATTTCTTCCTTTCAATTTGCAATTTTTTTGCAATGAGAATAATTTAAAAAAAAAAATAATGCAATTCTTCTCTTTTCTTCTTCAGGATTTGGCTTCTACAGATGAGCGCATTGAATCATCAATGATGGAAGCGAAGTCAATGAATTGAACATAATTTAGCAATTATTAAGAAATGATGTAAAGAATGAGAAGTAAAATCAATAAAAGAATTAAAATATTTAAACTAGATAAGACATAAGCTTTACTTTTAACATTTGTTATGTGACTAACTTCCGCTACCAACCCACTGAACGTGTGTGTGCTGGAAATTTCATAATATTTACCCATTTGACTAAGTGACTCATTTATTTTATGTTGAAATATTTTACTTCCATTAATATTCATGTCTGTGGCTCTTTAGAAATGAAAATGCAATTTTCGACAAATTTTCTTGTTCCTTAAAATTCCTTAATTCAAAAAGAGAAAAGGGGATAAATAATGGATTGAATGTGCGATGGAAATCCATTAAAATTCACATCAATTCCTCATTTTCATGAAATTGCTGACATGTGATTCATGTTGACAAAGGCATTGACTCAAATTTTCATTTCAATGCGCATCGAAATTTCATAAAATTTAAATTTTTCAAAATTATTTTCATGCTGTTGACTGGATGCATGCACTTGTCAATAATTTATGTCACTTTTTCCTGCCTTTTTTATTTGAATATAAAAATCATAAATTTATGAATGGAAATTTTTTAAATCTAAAAAACAACAAGAAGTCACAAGAGGAAGCAGCAAAAAAAGTCTCAATCGAGTGGCTCGTAAATTTTCCTCAATTTATGCGATTTTCATCATGTGCATGTTGTGTATTTGTAACATAATGTTGTCGCTGTGTTGTGAAAAGTACTTTTTGTGCAATAATGATGACAACATTGGAAGGATGAAGACAATTTCCTTACAATATGCTCACAAGCAAGTAAGAATCTTTGAGACGATAATGCGATTTTTATTCAATTCTTCTCTCCCTTCCAAAAAATATGTAAAGAAGGAATATTTTCATGTATATCGACATAAACAGCAGCAATGTGCAGTAACAATGACAGCAACTTGCTTCCCTTCAATTTTGATAGAAGATTTAAAGAACCGAAAAAAAACTTTTTCATGTTAAAAGCAATCACAAATTTTCTCTCATGTCCGCCTTTGCTGCTCCTCCTTTTTGTCATAAAATTTCTATTCAATCTTCTTCGTTCACTTCCTTCATTTCTGTTATGTCTAAGTTGCAGCATGTAATGTGTTTTTCTATCTGTAAGTTCACTTACGATGCGATTTGATTGAAGCTATAATCGCATTAGAATCAGATTATTTTCGCATTATTTCCTTACTCACACATTCTTTGCTGCTTCCTTTATTTTTCTTACTGATTAAATTGATTTTTTTTATGTGTCTATCAGCTAACAAATTCCTTTAATGTTGTTGAGAATTGCAAAGATTTATTTATTGCTTTTCATTCTCATACCCATTCTGTGTAATGTGCTGTCGTGTCTTCTACTTTGTCAGTCATGAAAAAAGTTGTAAGTCACACATTCATCTTATAAGTCATTAATGATAATTATTGACACAATTTGTTTTCATTAGGTGGCCCGTCTATATCCAATAATCCAAATTACAACTCAACATTCTTTTGGAATGGGCAACGACCAAACTACGATGGACCGACATTTAATAGCCAGACACCAAATTATGGTGGACAATATCCAACGAATTGGAATAATCAACAACCTCCAACATGGAATAGTCAACAACCTCCAACTTGGAATGGACAAAATCCTACTTACAACAACCAGAATCCAACATATAATGGTCAATACCCCCCATCAAATAATGGTCAAGATCCACCAACTTTTGGTCCTCAAATTCCACCTACTTGGAATGAAGGTCAAGATACAAACGAAATAGAAACTTTTTATGAAATTGGATCACCAAATTCAAGACCAAAACGAGATGTGCAGTTCCCAGAAGATGATGAAAATGTCAACAATATGCCAGCTATAGATGATGGTAATAAAACAATATACAACAACACGATGGATGATGTTCTAGTCGAAACAATAACTTCAGCTGATGGACGTGCCTTAAAGCAAATGATGCAAAGCGTTACGAAAATCGATGTTGGTCCACAATCTCAGCTATTTGTAGCGCCAGGATCAACATCTGTGATTTATTTCGAAGTGACAAATTTAAGAAATGAACCAACTTATCACAACTTTAATGTCCAAGACGAGAAGAGATTTTTGCGGCAAATGGAACCGAGATTGTAAGTTTAAGATTTATTTAATTAATTAAACCATCTAAAGCACATGCTTCTTTCTTCTTTAGCATCTGGTTGCAGCCAAATCAGAAGGAATCTATCCGAGTGACAATACTAGTGCCACAAGCAACTGAAAGTGGCATGAAAGATGTAATTACATTGACATCCCAGAGCGTAATTCAAACACAACAGTCAGTCGTTGTGACAGTTGCTACAAATGGAGTAGTTGATGCATGGCAACCGCGTCTTTGGTATACATACAACACAAGATGTGATTGGCGTTGGAATTGTGTCGGAGGAACATGGTCAATTGAAGTTGTGGCACGAGATTATGAATCTGGATTATTGAGTTTGAAATCCAATCCCGAAGGATTATTGCTACGTGCTCCATTCGTTGCTGGAACAAATGAAGAAGTCACAGCGACTTATTCAGCATCATGCTGTGAACCAAGAGTGACAATTACAGCATACGATTTGAATAGAAATCAACGAACAATCCAATTGAATGTCGATGAACCGTGGCTTAGTGAATATGGAATTGCAACTGTTGTTCTCGCCTGTCTATTTTTCATTTTACTCATAATCCTCATAGTTATTTGGGTCAGATGGTGCATCAACCGTCGACGTGTAGCTCGTGATTTACCATCATATCGACCTGGTGATAGATTCACTGACCCTCCACGTGCTTCAAACAGTGCAAACATCTAAACCAGTGGTTCTCAAACTTCATGAGCCGCACATATTAAATAGTTTATCTAGTGTTGATTTCGGTGATTTATATAAGAAGATTATGGTAATACAGTAAAGTGTCGTGGATCAAAGTTTGAGCAGCACTGACCTAAGCATTCCATTTGTAATTTAATATAATTTTTCTGTGTGCCAAAAAAAATTATTTAATTTACTAAAATAAAATCAAAATCTGACCAAACAATCCTAACCCCTTTGATGCCATCAGTTCCACTTTAATTTTAGTCAAATATTTACTTCATCATGTTTGATGATGGTAGCCTGTAAATATTTAACTGTATTTTCATTTTCTCCCCAAAATAATAAAATAATTCATAGAAATACGTGACACATGATCTTACTCTCAGAATGTATAAAGGATTTAAGGAGTTTAAGGACTATTATCATCATCCATATCAACATCATCTTTGCTCGAGCAACAGAGTGCATGAAGAAGAAACAACTGACAAGGAAAGTTGGATATACTTTTTGCGTATTGAGACGCAATTTTCATTTGCTTAAAAAAATATAATCCAATCATATAAGCTGACAAATATGTCCTATAACAATAAGATGAATGGATAAGGTCGTCAAATATATAAATGCTCAGTATAATCGGCTAATATTCAATAAAGAATGTCTCATCATACAATTGCCGTTGACAAACAACACATGCTCTACAGTAGATCAGTTTGAAGCCTTATGGTCATAAATCCAAATGACAATACTCATGTGAATTGCCATCTATTGACATAGGTTGTCGTATAAATGTCAGGCTTGTGGAATTATTGTTAGGCGATGATTTTATGTCATGTCATTGTACAGTTGACAAAAGGTCACTTCCTTTAAACATTTCGGATCATAAATTTTATTGATGTTTGGCAAGTTCCGGCTTGGCTTGATGTGGTGCCTGAGTGGAGTGGAATCTAGAGTTTTGAGTATTATGTATAAGCCTCTGTAAGTGTGTTGGCTAGGCCTCTGTGATCAAGGAGCTAGGCTGCAGACTAGATTTTTTGTAGATTCAATTCCCATTAGAAGTCAATCTCTCATTCAGCATTGACAACATCAAACCTGAGCTAAGTAGACAGCAAGACATAATTTCAACATACTTCCATGCCAAAAAATATCACAGCAAGAAGCAAAAAAAATCTTTTGCCAAATAAACAGAAAGAAAGGAGAAATGAATGAATGAAGAAGAGCTGAGTGGTGGCGTATGTGCTCGAGAGCCACTTGAACGTTCTTTATTGTTGATACAAGGATTCACTGATTGTTTCAATTGTAGATTATATCATCTGTCTCAGCATGTCGAATTTACAGTGGTATATAAGATAAAATGAAGGAATGAAAATTTTACAGCAAAATGTGCTGTAAAGATGTGTACATTGATATTATGTGATGCGTCATATGATACTCAAGTAAACAGCATGCGATATTTCAATGGTAAACGTATGTGAATTGACAATGATATGTAAACATAGAATTACGTGAGCTCACTCTGCACATTCTCTGCATATGTGTGATATTTGAATATTTTCAAAATCAAGAGCAAGGATGGAGTTCCTTACATTATTATATGTAGCTTAACATTCAATTGTGTGCTTTCTCTAGATCCATTTTTTTGGCAGAAAATCCTTTTTATGTGTACATAAAAGTATCGAAATATTTCAGCAAGTCACAATGGCTTTTAAGGATATCAATACATACCTTTCCCTTTCCTATATGATTCTATAGATATTTATATCCATTCTTCATTTGGAAGTTACTTTAATGTTGAGAAATAGAGTGATTTTTGGCAATTTCAGCAGAGTTGGGGAGTTAAGGAACTTGGTTTTAATTGGATCAGACGATTCTTCTCAATTTGTGTTCTCAGTAGTATCGAGGTAAGTTTCAGAGGTTTTAGACATTTAAGAATTGTCAATACCAAATTATCAATATCATGAATGCGATTGCCTCAAATAAAACTTAATCTCTAGATTCAGACATGGTTTCTTGACTAATCTAAACTCAAATGATGTCCAAGCAATATTGTGACATTGTTTAAATCCTTGTCATATCGACAAAATTCTACGAAATGATTAAAAAGATCCATTTCTGGTGGGATTCAAACCCACGTCCTCACAAAAGAAGATCACAAATAGTCGATCTGTTATATTAGCACTCGACCATAGAGACCATACTCAGGCACTGTCAAGATTGTCCATATAAGATCAGTACCACAAATTCGACTCAAACTCCACAAATTGGACAGGCACAGATGATTCCTACCAACCCTGACCATGCTTTTACATGAATCGATTTACTGCAATTTAACAGAGTCATTATTTTGGAGAATTAGAGGAAGGAGATGAAAAAGGAAACAAGCAAAAGCTTTTAATCGATAAAATGAGATTCCTAACATTATTTCAATGGATATAACAGAAAAGTTTTCATGTTTTTATCAAATTCCTCTCGTTCTGCTTTTTGCTCAATCACGTTAATTAATTTTGCTCTCTTTTTCTGTCTTTATCTTCCTTTTTTTTGCTCTTTAATGATTATGCTGTTGCCAAAAAAAGCGACAAAGAAGAAAAGAATAATTTTTGTCATTCTAGATTTGTAATTACTTTCATACCCATCCTCGTTTTTCTTTTTTGGAGCTCGAGAATGTCAAATGAGATTTTCGTTTCCTTTGAGTTATGCAATTTGTAAAGCGAAATTAAATATTTTCTCATTTGCAGCTATGCTATAGAAAAATAGTTTCGAAAATCTCAAAAACGTTTTATTTTACTTCCTTTATGGAATGAGAATAAAATTATTTAAAATTAAGTATGTTGCCAATGGAAAGGATTGGGAACTTTGTAGCATTAAGTTAATGATCGAACCTTGAATACTTTGTTGGAAACAGAGCTTAAACGACTCGTAGGAAACTGGACCTACACAGAACAAGTTCAGTCATCAAAAAAATATTAAGAATGCACATCCTGTGCAGAATTGACTTCTTTGAAGGTATCTCAAAAAATGGAAGCTTACCGACTCTAGATGAATATATCAGGATATACTGCTTTATCCATCGATGTACCTCTGGAAGGGGGTCTGAAGAATGTCATTCCTAAAGACTGAGATAACCCAATATGCCCTTCCCTAAGAACACCTAGAATCAAAAGGGGCTATAAATCAAATCCAGGGGTTCTCAAACTTTATATTGTGAAACATTAGGGAACACAACTTTTTGGAACTAAAGCAGCACTTTCAAATCTTTAAAATGGCTCTTAATGTCCCGTGGCACACAGTTTGCAAACCACTGATATTATAATCCCAAAAAATTCCATAGCTTGATAAAAATCACTCATTTGCATGATAATAAAACCAATTTCATCTCCATAATGAGCATCCATACCTAAAACTGTAATAATCGTATACATTTATTATTCTTTATAACATATGCGACTCTTCAGCTCCATAAAAAAATAGAAGACATGACTAAAATTCTACGAACGTACGACCTGCCATTTAATTTTACCCATTTTTTTCCATGCATCCCCATCATGAATGTCATATTCTTCTTTTATATGTGAATATTTACATTTTGACTTTTCAATTACCGACTGAAAAGCACTTTTCGAGAGTATCATGACACATGAATGTTGTCGCATCATTAAAAGCACTTTTTGTCTCTTCCCATTCATTCAAAGCATTAAAAAATATGCAAAAAATTTACATACATAAATGGCATGAATATGAGGACGTTTCATCTTTCTTAATTGCTCATGCAATTAAACTTTATGTTGACACAGTGTGCTGTAATGAGTCAGAACAGATTTTCGTTAATTAAATTCTATAATTTTAGGAGTAATTTTGGTTGTTGATTTTTGGGCTTTTTTGTGTACAGCATGAAATTTTTATGTCTAATGTGGCATTAAAATGTTAATATGGATTTATGTTTTAATAAAAAATATTTGTTTTATTTTAGGTTCTAAAATATTTAATGCTTCATGTCCCTAAACATATTTTATTAATTTGAGAATTATTGTTTTATTGTAGATTAATGGCATTAGCCAAATGTGATAGCTGATAGTCTTATTTAATTTATTTCCAATATTTAAATCCTGAGCGGCACATTATGGCTTTAAATAAATGCACAGTATTCACATATTTAAGCATAGCTGCAGATGCTATAATATACTGCATAAGGTTCATAACATTACAGCATCTCTGAAAATTGTAATATTTAAAGCTTTCTCAAGCTGCTGGGTTTTTTCGTTGTTCCATTGAATGAGCCAAAGTTCTGAAGAGCAACGCCAAGATTATGAAATATATTTCCAGCAAAATGCGCCCATGGTCTTTCGATTGCAGTTATTGGTTGTTGCTGTTTCGGATTAGCTTCTGTAGAAACCACTGCCAGCTGAAAATAAGACATAGCTTACAATCTTAAAGTCTGCACTTGATGTTGATTTAGAGCTCCTGTTGTAGAACTAGAAACTATGATCTTTTGAGATATTAAGATAAAGGATGTGGAACTGATCCAATGATTTTTGGCCAAATTTGATTGCTTTTAATCATTGTTTGATCAGTTCTGTACCTTTGTTTTAAATTTTGATCTTAAGAACTTGTCCAAGACATCAAAAATCCTTAATTCCAATAAATATCAACAGCACTTCCAATTATTTCACAAAAACTTAATTAATCTTTATTTATTTTCTATTTTAAAAAATCCTTAACTTACAGCTATCAATAATACACACAAGAAAACCACTGACGACTTCATGTTTGATTGATCTTCAAATTCCAACTCAATCTGCTGAAGGTTTTTGCGGAAGCATTTATATACACAAGAAAGTATCGAGGTCAATTCTCTATTTCGATCATTTCGATCTCGGTGAAATTTTTATGGATCATTTGAAAGTTTTTGAAGATGTAAGCATGTGAATTGCAGACTTTGATGAAATTTTTTTTATGGTCAGCTGAATTTGAAGTCGCAGTATTTTTATAGAAGCTTAGCAATATTACCATTTTTTAATCTAATTGTTCTGCCTCAATTTGTCTTTTTATTTGGTTGTTCCTGATGATTACTTGCCAATAGCTAATAGACCATTTCCAACTCCTTTGAAAAAGTTTGCCATAGCAGATAGAGCTGGATTCTTAATAGGTTGGATTGCTGGAAATGAGGGTAATCCAGGGATTGATGGGAATTGTGGACGTGCTGTGACTTCAAAAAGCTATTAAGATTGGGATTAAAATTTATTAATATCATTAACATTTTATGTCTTTGGGATCATTTAAAAATTAGAGAATCTGTGCTTAATAACTTCAAACTTTAGCCAGAGCAAACCAAATGATGAATTTAGATCCAAATTTGATTATTCCCTGAAATTTTATAACTTTACTTACCACACAAGCCATCACGATTAAGACTACAAAATAAAGCTTCATGACTGATTAAAATGTAAACTAAAACTCTTGACTTTTTGAGATTCACCGAATCTTTTATATATGAAATAATATTTGGGTCAATGTCATCAATTTCACTGTCACATCCACAAACATCGTCACTCTTGAATTTTCTTGTAATATTTATACACAGAAAACAGGTTCAGAGTTGTTTGCCGAAAATATGATAATGAATGTTGAAAAAATTTATGCAAAATGCCTCCGTGTTTTATTGATAATGAACTTCAAGCTGTTATACAATCAAGTTTTGTGTTACATATTGAAACTTTTCATTAACATTTGAATCATTAAGGCGATGACAAAATTCACTTTCCGATACTGCAATCAAAGCAGGTGTTTCCAAAACATCTGCAACCGTTACTTGGTTGTTGGTAGCCTCTGTTGTTGTTGTTGTAGCCTCCTCTAGTGTTATAGCTGCTTGAGCTATATGAGCTTCTTGATGATGTTGAATATCCTCGATTTAGAGAATTTCGTTGAGTAGGTCGAGGTTTTGGAGTTGTACGATAGTTTGTGGATGGTCTTCTATTATTATAGCCTGGTGATGGAGGTCCAACAACGCAGTTATTGCAAACTTGTCGTGCTAGTCTAGGTGAACTATGAGAACACTTCATTTTAGGATAATCACTTAGCTGATCTTCTTTACTTACCCATCATCAGGTATATACTTCTCAGAATTCCCCAACGTATATCCACAAACTGCACTAATGCAAATGATTAAAGTACAAATTAAAATTTTAGAATTCATTTTTGAGTGAACTCGACTGTTTAACCTTTTAATTATGAATGAAGTGAGATGAGTGCCTGCTATTAAACTTTTATAGAAAAATGTGGCACTTTAATTAATGAAGTAAGTTTGTTTATAATTCTATTTCCATCTGTCACGACTTTTCAATAGATTCTATCATCTGGCTAGGGGCTGACAGTAAAGAGAAGTTTGAGGTTGTATCCGGATTGTTCTTTGAAGCTAAAATACAAAAATCATTGTCAGTTTCTTAAGTATGACATGGGTATACTAAGGACTGGAGGGTATACAAGACTACTTCTTGTTTTACTTGTGCTGTTTGAGCAAAGTGGAATCTAGGGTATCGAGCCATATATAGGCGAATCTATCAATGTGAGAGTTATGCCTCTGTGGTGCGAGAAGTTAAGCAACAGACCGGATATTTTCCTCTTTTGTGAGGACGTGGGAATTCTCACCATAGTTCGATCCATGAATCATTATATAGAGTGTTATCAATATAAAAAGGTTTCGCACAATTCCGAATGGCACAAGTCGGGTTATCGATCAGAAATCTGGCACTAAGCCGGTGTGACTCTGGCATGGTATTCAAATCGAAGCCCGATTTGTGCATATTCGGAAAAACGCACGACATTACATTCCCTAGCCTAAAATCAAAGATTGACGGACTTTAGTTTAAGTAAAAATAGACCCTATGCATCTTAGGAAACTCAAGAAGCTTGATGCTTTACTGATTTGTGTATTAAACGATAAGATTTAAAGTTTATTGTGTTGACAACAAAAGTGACTCCTGGATAAATTTTCAAACCCGGAAAAAGTACAAGAAGTAGTCTCAAATTCCACTATATTAAGCTCAATATATTCTATCAAAATAATTGCACACTTACTGAATAATGAGATGAATATAAAGATTATTGCCTTGCAGTCTTCACTTTTAAATTAATAAAAAATGATTTATATCATTCACGTTCTAATGAGAATTATGATTTTATCTCGCGATAAATCTCCGCAACAAACAATTTAATATTTTTTTACGTATCTTAAATATTCTCTCAGTGATTCATCGTCATCGCGGGTTTTCAAGACGCATCAAAATAAATTAAATTTCAAAAAAAATCTTTTGAAGCAAAAAAAAAAAATATCAAAAAGGATCTCGAAGGATAATGAAATTAACGTCGGTTCATTCTCTCCACTTTCTATAATCTTCAATGCCACAATAAAATGTCAAAGTTAGTGTGAAGAGGGTAAATGAAATGAAAACCATGTACGAGAGAAATTAATTCCGTTTTAATTTAATTTAATGACCATTAAATCTCATCTTCAAATTGGCACAATGTTGCAGATCTACCAAATGGCTTTATGGGGTATCGAGGTATTTTTGGGATGCGGACTTAAGCTCCAAAAATACCTCAACTCATTTTTTTATATCTTGCCAATTTGAGAATTGCAAAATCGACCCTTTTAATTATCTGGTAAAAAAATCATTAGAGTAATTGGATGTGATGTGCTGAATTGAATGTGTTTATTCATCTTATTAAATATTCATCAGTATATGAGAATCTGAAACTGCTTATTATCATCGTCATCAACAATACAGCTTCATTATGACAATTTCATCATTTGCGGGTACATTTGCAATATTCCTCTCGTGCCTGTATTCTAATCGTCTTAGAATCAAAAAGGTTCGTTTAATCTTCTTTGTACTTCCCTTTTACCCCTCTCAAAATTAAGCCCTAATTCAAGTGTTTCCTCCCTCGAAAAATAAAAATCATTTTTATTAAAAGAAAAATTATTTTTTTTTATTCCTGCCTATTTTTTTTATTATCATTCCTCAAACGAATAATCCCAGATCAGAATAACTGCACAAAATTGAAATTGTTTCACTGAATGGATGTGAAAGAAGTGAATGCAATAAAATTGAATTTAAGAAAAAATCAAAACACACAAGAAGGAATAAATTTTTACGATTGAGGGTCGCGTTTCTGACAATTGCTTTAAAAAAAGAAGGAAGGAAGAACGACATAGGGGATGAATTGTAAAGGAATCACAGCAAAATTGAAATTTATGTCTTTCAATATTCATCGCATGCTTTCGCATTAGATGTGACATTGTTTGCTTTCCATAATTGCATGCATGTGAGTAAGCGAATAATCTGATTATGCAGAAGCGACTGGGAAAGCTATAAAGAATGTGATTTAAAACTTCTGGGCAGAGAATGGAGCAAGTGAATTTTCTATGCAAATTTTGTTAAAAAAACTGTAAATTTTTTTTATTTTTACTGGAAGTGCTGTTGTTTGGGAGATTGACTGGATCAGCCATCAGCGTTTTTGGGATTAAGACTAAGACATGACTAAGATGTTCAGTTCCCAAACCCTTTAAAACGTAGATTCGTCAAAAATTAATGAACTCAAAAGTTTTGTCAATCCATCCTGGAAGTTCATCCCAAACTATCATCACATCATCACTTCCTTAATACCTCCAACAAAACAAATTTCTGCAGCATTTCTTTCTGTTCTTTGTTGTGGCTTTTTCCATTTTGAACTCGAGTCAAAAACCTCATAAAATACATTTTTTGTCTGTGACGGAATCAAGGAAGGAAGAAAAAAGAGGAGTTTATTCCTTTCTTTTAACTTTAAGATGCTTAAAGAAAATGTTTTACTTCACTCAGGGCTACCAAAAAAGAGATGGAAAATCCCGAAAGACAATACTTTGCATGTGACAGTTCCAAATGAGTTTTATACATAAAAACACTGAAGAACGAGCTACAAAGAGTAATTTTAAGTTAGATTATTACAGATTTTGTTCAGGAAAATGGAACTTTAAGGAACTTTAAGGAATGGAAAGTGGATACTTAATATGTGATTGGATGTGATTTAGAATTCCTGTGGGTTAATAATCATTGAGTGCTCTCTTGTTTTTATAAAGATTTTTCACTTTATACTTAGGATAAAATTGTTGTTTGTGCTACTTTTGGTCACGTAACTTTAAATGTATGGAATAAGGAGATAGAGGAACTTTGTATTTAGTTTATGGAAGGGAATAGTTTTATATCTTAATTGATTTTTATGTAATCTGGTGTGATTTCTAGCGATGTCCTACTCTAGAAGCTAAGATCCATCGAATTAAGTATAAAAATGGACTGGAACCAAAATAGTTACTACAATGAGCCACAAACCGATTCACAGAATCAAGTCCCGTAAAAAAACTAGATTATTATTATCAAATGAACCTTTCCCGGACGTAAAATGTCTTAAAGCTACACGCCAAAAAAAATTAACAGATATAACAGTTGACAATTTAGCAGCACCAGCATGTGCTTTATTCATCATAAATTGTTCATGCAGCATTGCAGTGCTAATGTTCTATACACCTGCATACTATAATTTGTGTTCCTTTTCTCCAAGACCATGTTTCATGTCGCAACTTCTTCATTTGATAATAAACAGCACCTAAACGCCTTCAGCTTCCAAACTTGACACAATAAAATCCTCAAATTTGCACAAAAAGAAATCCCAAATTTTTCATACTTTCATCCTACGGGTCAATTTGCTTAATTCATTTATGGACGCCATAGGAAGTATTTGCAAAATTTCTCTGAAGACGAACAATAAAAAAAAAAGTTTTTTCAAGAGCAATAAAAATGAAAGCCTTAAAGATTCCCATAAGATATAAGGTAATAAAAGAACAATGAAAAAGCTTTCATTCTTTCCTTAAAAAATTGTCGTCAACAAAGAGTATTGTCTTGTATCATCATAAAGTTCTTCCCTCATCCTTGTTTCTTGCATGTTTATGTCAGTAAATGTGTAGGATTCAGAGTTGTAATCTGGGGCATTTCTCATTTATTAATCTAGTGGACCACGTGTCAGAAAAGTTTGAGAATCTTAGTTGGAACTTTAAGTTCCAACTTCTCAGTTATTATGGATGTTTAGCTCTTAATTAATCTAGATTGCCCTATCCCAGTGGACACACGCTTCATTTGGCATCAGATTAGAATTAACCAAGGTTTGTGCTGCTTCAAACCAGATTCAACATAATCAAATCTGGTCAGTTGATGCCTGACTTCTTTAATTCCTGATTAAGATATAAAGTCTTTCCTTTCTTACTTACTTACTTCGCTGGCCGTACAGATCAATTGTGATCTATGGCCTCTCTTAGAAGCATAAAGTCCATCCACATCACCAATAAAGACCAACCTAGCAATCTATGTCAACAACTCTGGCTTTAGATACATAACTATAAATATGTAGAAGAGACTTTAAGAATTATAAACTTTTACTTCTCTTGTGTAGCTTGAAAAGTTGTAAATTTTATTATAAAGAAATTATTGTTGCGGCTTCTTAGCTTCCTCTTTTCATTGCACTGAACACTTTTCCTGCGATGCAATTTTAAGGGAAACAATAAAACTTTTCCTGACAAATTAAAATGTTTCCGAAAGGCACACACAACAAAGAAAGTTGTAAGAAGAAAGTTTTTTATAAATATAAAGAAAATATTGGTTGGAAGCATAAAGGTGATTATTGAATCGAGAAAGAAGAATTCACTTCCATGTTCGTCCTGCTTTTGTGCTTTTTTTCGAACTTCTCTCGATTTTTCCTCTCATTCTCAATTTTTGCAGGCACAACACATTCTGAGAGACTTTTTCGAAATTAGATTTTTTTAAATATTCAAGCAAAATTTTCATTAAGAATTCGATTCTCTTTAAAAATCGGAAGAAGGATGTAGACAATGAAGGCATTAATATTCAGAGGAATTTTTTGATTAATTTTTCTTTTGTCTTGGGGCCTGTGGAAATAAATTAAAGTTGTAAATGAGATCGAACTGTGATTTGAATATTAATATATATTTTTGAAATATGCTGTACATCCTTACGAGATTGTTTTCTTGCTGTAGATATACAATTTTTGTCACAGTATATATTTTATGAAAAAAAAATGTCCTTAATGAAAAACTTCAGCTTACTTAATTGAAAAGATATTGAATATGATCATAAAGTTTGTGAATTATTGAATATTTAATAGCTTCATCAGCATTTGAATGAAGAAGAT